TACAGAGATTCTGCTAATGAGGTGCCTGTCAGAGGGGAGCCCATGAGGGGGAGGGGGACACCGGCCAGCCAACGGCAGAGGGATGAGGACGAAGCCCGTCCGTGCCCAGCTCTCTGGGCTACAGGATCCGGCTCCTCATCCAGGAATTGCGGGGTGCCAGTGAGGTCATGCCAGGAGCCCAGGCCAGACCAGGTGCTTGCCTGGCCAGCCTCTCGGGGACAGCAGGTCCACCCAGCCCCACCCGATGTGGCCAGAGGCGCCTGTGTCCAAGACGAGAAGCATCAGAGAGGAGGCTGCTCCCTGCCCACTGCGCTGTGTGCCCCTGGACACTCAAGAGCCGTTAGGAGCGGCGCCCCCCAGCCCAGGTCACACACCCATTCTCTGGGTTGGGCCTGGATGGGCCAGGGTCCCCCAGCCACCCCTCAGGGCCTCCTCCCCGCGGCCCACGGCCAGTGGCTGGGAGGTCTCAGCTCTGCCGCTGGCAGAGGGGGGCTCGCTCTGGGTCACCTGCACCCCCGCAGTCCACCCACCTCTGGCCAGGGGCTGCGCTGCCAGCTGTGTCGCTGGGCTCAGCCTGTCAGAGGGATGATCAGTCTGCAGCAGAGGATCAGCTTGTAGCCAAGATAAGGGCCTGAGCCTCGGTCCTGGTTTTCCCACCTGCGAAATGGGATGAGTGAAACGGGCCTTTCTGGAAGACGGTGGGATCCTGAGAGAGGTCACGACAGCGCCTTGTCAACTGGCTGTGAGGCTGACACCAGGCTTCCGGTGCCAGGGCACCTCGCTGGCTGTGCTCCCATCCCCCTGGGCCTGGGTCTCCCCCTCCCCACTCTCACCACCAAGACTGGCATCTTTAATTATAACGTCTGTGAGTCTCTTGAGGAGCCGTGTGGCTCCTCCTGACAGCCACCTATTCGAAATGAAAGGCTCTCGGAACTTTGTGAAGACTCAAGTCTTGGTTGGGAGTGGGGGGATGCATTAATTGCTAAGTGTTGCTATTCGCTCTGATGTGGTCGCAAAGAGAATCTTGACGTGTACATTCAAGAGATCAGCGTGAGGCTGGCATCAGAGCCAGGAGCTCGTCTCAGAGCAGCCGAGCCCCTCCTCTCTCCACACAGGCAGCCCGAGAGGGGGGGTGTCCCAGAGAGGTTTTGACTTGCTGCAGGGCGCCACACCCGGGCGGCAGATCAAGGCAGCTGCCCGTGGTCATGCGGCCTCCATGCAGCAGCTGGTTGATCCAGAGAGCACAGCCCTGCATTCCTTCCACGCATCAGCACTCGGGCCATCTGGGGTGCTGTCTGCCCTGCAGGACCACAGCTCTGGCAAGTGCCGCCTGCCAGGGGGCCTTGTCCTGAACAAGGGGCCTGCGGAGACCCTCCTCTGAGGCTGGAGATCAGCCCCTCTGTTACCAGGACGTGGGCACAGCCCCACTGAGCCACCATCTGCAGCAGCCGGGCTGAGACGCAGGTGCCAACTGCCGACCACAAAGACTGTGCCCAGGGCCAGAGCCCAGCGGGCAGACGGGGCGGCCCTTGGGGGCCTGGCCCTGGGCGGCCGGACGTGCCCCCAGCCTCTTGGGAGGAAAGCCACTGCGAGTGGACGGAGCGCCATATCTGAGCTCAGCTGTCAGCTCAAAGCCCGGCAAGACCGTGCCCTTGCCCGACACCCCAGTGACCTACGGACCCTCTTCGTTTCTGACGCTGTGTCTGCCAACACGAGCACCAGGCTGGACTGTGCAGGCCGGGTTGCGGCCTCACGAGTGGACGTGTGGTGAGGGCAGCCCAGGGCTGCCCGCTGCGCAGAAAGGCGGCCGGACCTTGGCCGGCAAGCACACACGACTCCAGGCCGGCACCTCCATGGACAGCCTGTGGGAAGGGCTCCTGGGCAGGGAGACCCTCTGGGAGCCAGGCTCCAGGCCAGGGTGCTTCCGACAGCCTGTCTCCTCCCCTCTGTTTGCAGAAGGCTCAGACCTGCGCCCTCCCCGCTTCTCTCTCACGGGCGGTCCTGGTAATAAGCCCCTTGCAATTCCAGCTCCATCATCTTAGCATCGGGTCCCCCAGGGCCCCAGCAGACAGAGTGTCAACCTTTCCCCAGCTGCAGGCAGGCCTCTGGGCTGTGGCACCCTGCAGGGCCAGTGGGGAGCGGCTCCCAGTGCGTCTCAGGCCCCTCCCGCCACCCCGCGTCACGCAGGGGACCCAGGCTGGGTCCCACTGGCGTGCCCGCCCTGGCTCCTTTGGGTCCCGGGCCTCCATCTCGCTCACTCACGGAGCAGGCAAGCTGACACCCACCGAGCAGCGGAGATGGCCCCCGCTTTCAAAAGGCAGGACCCAGGAGTGTGGGAGTTGAGGTCCGTTTCACTAGACTCTAGATGGTCGGAGGTGAAAAAGCCTCACACTTGGACGGTTCAGGTGGAGGGCTGGGGTCAAAAGGCCCTTGGGCAGGGGTGTGGAGGCCGCAGCAGAGGCCGTCTCACAGCCAAGCAGAGGGCGCCCCGCGTGCCCCCGCCCCCAGCCCCTCGCCCTGTCCCAGGCGATTCCAGGACCCAGTGGGAGGAGAGGGGTGCCCAGGAAGGCCCGAGGGGCGCCCAGGCAGCCAGGGGGCGACTGGGGGGCTGCGACGCCCGTGATGGGGGTTGTGGGGGTTGAGGCCCTCCTGCCCCACCCCACCCCTACCCCCGCCACTGCTAAAGAGCCCTCAGGGCAACCGGAGACACGCAGGGCGTACCCCCAGGGACCCCTGGTGCCAGCGCTGTTTGAGTCAGAGGCCCCGACAGGACGACAGACAGGAGGCCGGCAGAGCAGGACGGAGGGGGCGGGGAGGGCAGACGAGTTGGGGAGGCAGCGTCGGAGAACCAAGGACCCGCCGGAGAGGCGAGGCGCAGGAGCCCAGGGGGACAGTGGGCAGCCGGGCCGGCGGGCTGGGCGAGCGTGCGCCCCCTGGGCCCCGCTCACCTGGCTGTGCCCCCTGGGCCCCGCTCACCTGGCCCCGCTCACCTGGCCGCGCTCACCTGGCCCCGCTCACCTGGCCGCGCTCACCTGGGCCCTGCTCACCTGGCCCCGCTCACCTGGCCCCGCTCACCTGGCCGCGCTCACCTGGCCCCGCTCACCTGGCCGCGCTCACCTGGGCCCCGCTCACCTGGCCCCGCTCACCTGGCCGCGTTCACCTGGCCCCGCTCACCTGGGCCCCGCTCACCTGGCTGCGCCCACCTGGGCCCCGCTCACCTGGCTGCGCTCACCTGGGCCCCGCTCACCTGGCCGCGCTCACCTGGGCCCCGCTCACCTGGCTGCGCTCACCTGGGCCCCGCTCACCTGGGCCCCGCTCACCTGGCTGCGCTCACCTGGGCCCCGCTCACCTGGCCACGCTCACCTGGGCCCCGCTCACCTGGCTGCGCTCACCTGGGCCCCGCTCACCTGGGCCCCGCTCACCTGGCCCCGCTCACCTGGGCCCCGCTCACCTGGGCCCCGCTCACCTGGCTGCGCTCACCTGGGCCCCGCTCACCTGGCCCCGCTCACCTGGGCCCCGCTCACCTGGCCCCGCTCACCTGGGCCCCGCTCACCTGGGCCCCGCTCACCTGGCTGCGCTCACCTGGGCCCCGCTCACCTGGCCACACTCACCTGGGCCCCGCTCACCTGGCTGCGCTCACCTGGGCCCCGCTCACCTGGGCCCCGCTCACCTGGCCCCGCTCACCTGGGCCCCGCTCACCTGGCCCCGCTCACCTGGGCCCCGCTCACCTGGGCCCCGCTCACCTGGCTGCGCTCACCTGGGCCCCGCTCACCTGGCCGCGCTCACCTGGGCCCCGCTCACCTGGCCGCGCTCACCTGGGCCCCGCTCACCTGGCCACGCTCACCTGGGCCCCGCTCACCTGGCTGCGCTCACCTGGGCCCCGCTCACCTGGGCCCCGCTCACCTGGCCCCGCTCACCTGGGCCCCGCTCACCTGGCTGCGCTCACCTGGGCCCCGCTCACCTGGCCGCGCTCACCTGGGCCCCGCTCACCTGGCCGCGCTCACCTGGGCCCCGCTCACCTGGCCCCGCTCACCTGGGCCCCGCTCACCTGGGCCCCGCTCACCTGGCTGCGCTCACCTGGGCCCCGCTCACCTGGGCCCCGCTCACCTGGCTGCGCCCGCCTGGGCCCCGCTCACCTGGGCCCCGCTCACCTGGGCCCCGCTCACCTGGCTGCGCCCGCCTGGGCCCCGCTCACCTGGCTGCGCCCGCCTGGGCCCCGCTCACCTGGGCCCCGCTCACCTGGCTGCGCCCGCCTGGGCCCCGCTCACCTGGGCCCCGCTCACCTGGGCCCCGCTCACCTGGCTGCGCCCGCCTGGGCCCCGCTCACCTGGGCCCCGCTCACCTGGCTGCGCTCACCTGGGCCCCGCTCACCTGGGCCCCGCTCACCTGGCTGCGCTCGCCTGGGCCCCGCTCACCTGGGCCCCGCTCACCTGGCTGCGCCCGCCTGGGCCCCGCTCACCTGGGCCCCGCTCACCTGGGCCCCGCTCACCTGGGCCCCGCTCACCTGGCTGCGCCCGCCTGGGCCCCGCTCACCTGGGCCCCGCTCACCTGGCTGCGCTCACCTGGGCCCCGCTCACCTGGGCCCCGCTCACCTGGCTGCGCCCGCCTGGGCCCCGCTCACCTGGGCCCCGCTCACCTGGGCCCCGCTCACCTGGCTGCGCCCGCCTGGGCCCCGCTCACCTGGCTGCGCCCGCCTGGGCCCCGCTCACCTGGGCCCCGCTCACCTGGCTGCGCCCGCCTGGGCCCCGCTCACCTGGGCCCCGCTCACCTGGGCCCCGCTCACCTGGCTGCGCCCGCCTGGGCCCCGCTCACCTGGGCCCCGCTCACCTGGGCCCCGCTCACCTGGCTGCGCCCGCCTGGGCCGGCTCCCGGGGCCGCGGTCCCCGCGCCTGGCGGCTGCCCCGCTGCGGAGCGCGTTCCGGCGGGCCGGGGGCGCCCCCTGCCGCCCCCGGAGGGTCGCGCTGCAGAGCGCGCTCAGCCCCGCCCGAGGGCGGCCCGCCTCAGCCTAGACCGTCCGCTGCCGACGGGACAGTGAGGGCTAGAGAGTTCAGCGGGGCGGCTGCCGCTCCAGGACCCAGGCCGAGCCCCCGGCTCATGGCGAAGACGCCGGGGGCCGCCCGAGGCCGCTGCGCCTCCGTGGGGCCGGGCGCAGACGCCCGGGGGAGCCAGTCGCGCAGCCGGACAGCCGGAAGGACCAGAGGCGCCCAGCTCCCGGCCTGCGGCCCCTCCCGGAGGAGCCCATGCCCAGCTTTGCCAAGTGTTCAGACTTTTCTAAAGAAGCCAGAAAATTTGATTTCTATGGGAATGCCCCACGATTCAGTAGCGTTTCTAAACAGCCTGGGGGAGAGGGTTTGGCCCAGCTTGGAGTGAACTAAAGGGCCCTCCTCGTATTTCAGCCAGCGCCCTCTGGCCCCTCCGTGGGTGTTGCCCTTAAGATTTTTCATGGCTTAAAACGTTTGTTGAGAAGGGACCTCTGTGCCCCTGTTATCATCAGAAACCTCATGCCCTGTACGGTGAGAGCCAGGCCACGGCAGAGTTCACACCAGACCAGACACGGAAAGACTGTCCTTGCTCCGCGTCGCAGCCGCCCCCCCAGAGCTGCTGACCCGGGGTGGGGGGGGGCGGACCTGGAGTGGCTCTCCAGGGCCCGAGGAGTGGCCTCCAGGGGTCTGGGGGCCCCACCCTGTCCATGCTGCCCACTCTCAGCTCCACCAGGGTGGGGGAACCAGTGGGCGGGACCTCCCTGAGATGCAAGTGCAGAGGCTTCAGGGCCTGGCAGACAGTGGGGACAGTGGGGACCGTGTCTGGATGCGGCCTCCGGCAGGGACTCGGTCCTCTTATGGCGTCCTTAGGGGTCCGCTGTGGGGCACGGGAGCAGGGGGCCCCTCCTGACAGCCATGGAGGAGAAGCAGGGGTCCGCGGGGGACACAGAGGCAGGGGACGGACGAGGGCGCCAGGAGGGAGGAGGGTGTGGGGTCCTGTGCCCCACAGACCCCGCCCACTCGGATCAGGATGGATCTCCGCCTGCCCGGTGGCCCCACGTCCACGGTGCACGCCCGACCCCCGCCCAGCCTGCTGACCATCTCCCCTGCGGAGCAGCCTGGGAGGAGAGAGCAGGTGACCAGGGTGCCAGTGTGAAACGGGGCCTCCTGCTCGGGGAGCCCAGGCAGAAACCGAGGCGGCGACCTGACTTGGTAAGGGGAGGCGGGCCTCGGAGCAGCCACTCCGAGGAATACGAGGCCACCTATAAAAGATTTAATTAACTCTCCACCAATAAGCTTAGAGAGATTGCTATACGGTATTGTCGAGTGAGAAAAGCAATTTGAAGATAAGTAGGTATAATACGATCCATTTTCATAAAACAATGACTGAACCGCACTGAGTGTATACCTATAGCTGCGTCTGTCTGCGTCGGACTTTGTTAACACAAAGGGAAGCTCGGAAGGATACGTGCTGGGTTGTTAACCTGGGTTTTCTTCCCAGAAGTCTATTGTGGGGGAAGAGGGACTAGGAAAAAAAGGACGTGGAAAATAAAGACCGTCTTTTGAAAGATGTATGGCCACAGCCATGCGCGTCCCAGCATCACCCGTCACCGCGGCTGGCTTGGGGGAGTGGGTTTAGGCAGTTCCTGCCTGTCGTCCTGCATGGCTGCTCCTGTCTGGATGACCCTCTCTAACTGCCGATCACACACACACACACACACAGCCTACTCTCCACAGCCCCCCTCTGACAGCTCCGATTGTCCTGAGAGAGAAGGACACCCCCAGTGTGGCTCCCTGCCACCCCCGAAGCCTCGGCCCTGCCCACAGCGCGTGGCCTGTGTCCCCAGCCTCTGAGTCCCCTCAACCCTGAGCCTTGCACGTTTGCGGTGTTCCAGTCATAGGTCTAAGCACTTGGCATTTATTAAAAGCATGTAATCCTCACAACAACCCTATAAAAGTGTATAATATTAATAAATTCAGTTATATTTTGTAGGTGGGAAAATAGACACACAGAAAGGGACTGTAATTTGCCTTTTAAATTTGCACCACTAGCTGGAGGCGCGAATGGTCCCCAAGCCAGCACTCTCGAACCTCCCTGCACTGACCCCTACTCTGGGCAGTCTTAGTCTTCCCTTGGCTAAATCCTGATGACCGCTAGATCTCGGGTGAGATCTCACCTCCTCCAGGAAGCCCTCTCTGACCCCCAAGTCTGGGTAGGCCAGTCATTCCTCCACTGTAGCTGGTCTCGTCCTGCTCTGGGGCCACAGAAGGTCCCCTGGGGCCCGTGACTCCCAACAGGCAGGGGCCTTTGTTAACTTCTGAAGACGGGTCCTGAGTGCTCGGCACAGGGAAGACCTGCATGAGGGGCTGAGTCGGTATCTAGTGGATGGAGGGATGGACGTTAGCACCTGAGCCAGGCCGGGTATTGGTGGCCCACGTGTGGGGTGGGAGGGGAGGCCCGGGCAGGCCATTCAGCACCGTGGATAGCTCCTCAGCGCGGCTGCACTGGGCTGGGGTCTCTGCCTCTGGGTCTCTGATCTCAGGGAGGCCCTGAGATCCAGCCTGGGCAGGACTGTCCAGGCACAGAGGGTCAGCTGGCTTGCCTGAGCACACAGATCAAGCCCAGGGCACAGGGGAGTCTGAGGCTGGAATAAGGCCTCCCCCCCAGGCAGAGCAGCACCTCCACCCCAGGGTCCCAGCCTGTCACACCCCGTCTCATGCTTACTCCCTAACCATGCGAAGTTTTATAAAAGTAGTTGGAGAGCCTGTTGGAACCAGCACCAAATCTGTGTGTTTTCTCGAATTATTGAACTAGAAAGAAATGAAAACATCAAAATACTCTTTGTATCAGGCTTGAATGGAGCGGCTGCCTCGCTCAGCCCAGGCCTCTCCTGACGGGAATGATGAAGTGGTGGGGAGACAGCGGATTGAAAGGAAGGCGGCTCAGCGGGGAGGCTCAGATTGCCTTCCAGGACCACAGGCGAGCTGGGAACCAGGAGAGGAAACGGCGAGATTGACAGGTGAGGGGAGGGGAGAGGGAGGGGCGGGGGCCGGTGGTGGGAGGCACAGAGCAGCGCTGTCCTCTGCCCACAGTGGGGGACCCCGCCCCCACACCAGCGGAGGGAGCAGGCCGGCCAGAGCCCTCGGCCCGCGGTGGGGTGAGGACGCCAGGAGTCACAGCCCCAGGACGGGGCGGGGGGTGTGAGGGAGGAGGTGGCCGGGCTCAGAGGACAACACCAGAGGGAGCCCTCAGCCCTCGAGGGTCCCTGACAGCAGGGCTGGCCGGGGTCCCAGCCCTGGGACAGACCCGGCCTCAGACGGGCCGACAGGTTCGGTCACCCCCGGGTCAGGAGCGCCCCTCGGGGACGGAACCCCACGACTGGGGTGCTCCGCTCCCCAGCCGGTGCCACGGGCTGAGCGGCCACCCCGGCATAGTCACCCCACCCTCCTCTCGCCTCTCCAGTCGCCTCTCCGGATGCACCCCCGAGCCCCCGCCCCGTCCCCAGCCCTGGCCTGAACCTGCCTCCAGCTGAGCCCTAGAGGGACCCGGGGTCTGACCCCCGTGCCCTGGGACTCACTCTCTGCCGGATGTTGTAGACGCCCCTCCGGGTTCTAGCGCGTTTTGTCCTGAGAACCGCCCCGTGTCACACGTGGGGAACGGAGGCAGGGGGCGGGCACAGAGACTGCAAGTGGCCAGACCCCCCTGCTCTCAACACCCTCCTGCCCCTGGTGATGTGTGAGCATGTGGCTCTGAGTGTCCAGGGGGCCCATCCCCCTGGAGGGAGGGCTTGGGAAGGGCGTCCCCTCTCCTGCAGGGAGCCCTCTAAGGCCGCGGAAAGGAGGGCACTGGGGGTCCCCAAACTCTGACAGCACCACCAGAACGCACGGCAGCCTCGCACGAGAGCGGATTCCTAGGTCGTAATGACTAGAGGAGCTGCAGGCTCCTGACTGGAGCGTAATTACCGGGAGACCTCCGTGGAGTAATCCACCAGATAATTACACGGTGGCGGTGGGGGTGCATCCTGCTCTAGAGGTAGAGAGGCAGCGTTTAATTTTGAGGGGCACACCTAATCCTGTAATTACTCAGTACAGTCCCAGGCTCGCGCCCACCTGCCTCCCTGGGGCCGGCTTGACCTGCAGAACCACAGCCAGTAAGGTCTCTTCCCAGTGTGGAATCAGGGGTGCAGGGCGCCCTTGGGGCGACGCCGGGGTGATGCTGGGGCCCCTTCGAGCGGCCGCGGGGGGTTACCCTTGGAGTCATGAGCGCAGCAAGAAGCAGGCTGGGTGGGAAGGAGCGCCTTCCTCCGTGTGTGAGAGGGGAGCCCCCGGGCCCGGAGTCCAGAGTTCCCAGCGCGCTCACACAGCGGGGGCGTCTCGGCCCCTGAGACCCGCTTCCTTTGTTCCCTGGGGGGCGGGCGCTGAGCCACGGGCACACACGTCTTATCACAAGTAGAGCTCCTAACAGACACCCCCAAGCAAAGGCCTGGAGAGCAAGCTCCACAGCTCATCTCGCCCAGTCAGGCGGCTGCTCGGCTTGAGCTGGGACTCGCCCACAGAGCAGGTGATGCTGCCGGGGCCAGCCACGCATGTCTGTTCCCCGCAGGCCAGCCCGGCCTGTCCCCGGGGCAGCTGGGCCGGGCAGGAGCCGCGGTGGATGGTATAGGCCCCCTGAGACCTGGACGGGGAGCCAGAGCTCCATCACCTGTGTGACGTCCACTGGCCCCAGGGCGGGTCCAGCGGCCCGGGGCTGCCCCACGTGCCGGGAGCAGGGTGCTGGGGGGTGAGCCGCGGGTCCTTGTCTGTAACCCTTCCAGTGCGGCCTGCCTCCCGGGGTTACTGCGCGATTCCTGGACCAGGCTCCTAGGGCTCTCTGCACGTGCACATGTTCAGGAGAGCTGAGGCTCCTTCCTGCTGCCCGACCCCCAGGCCGGCGGGCCTTCTCTCGGCGGGGGCAGACGCGGAGGAGGCGGGGCAGCCTGGATCTGGGGTGGAGTTAGGGTCTGCGCCCCTACCCAGCCTGCCTGGGGCTACCGCCGTGTGACCCGAGCAGGTCCCCCCACAAAGGCCCAGGTGTCTGCCCTGAAACGTCGGGTGCTGCCCTCCCCCGGGCAGCGCGGGGGCGCCCGGAGAGAGTGGCCCCGGCCCCGGCCGCTGCCTTTCCGAGTTTACTCGTTTGGTTTTGGCCGCACCCGTTTTCTCTGGTTGCGGACAGCGGGGGCTGCTCCCTGCTTGCTGCGCTTGGGCTCTCATGGCGGTGGCCCCGCTTGTTGCAGCGCTCGGGCTCTGGACTGGGCACAGGCTCCACAGTCGCTCTGAGGCAGGTGGGATCTTCCCGGACGGGGATCAAACCCGTGTCCCCCGCACTGGCAGGCAGAGTCTTGACCTCTGGACCACCAGGGGAGTCCTGTTGCGGTCTTCTTAAATCCCAGCCCCAGCTGCCTGGAGAATTTGTTTAGTTCTACTTTCCTTTTTACAGGATACAGGAAAAATACTTTCATTTCCCAAATATGGCATTATTCTGTAATATGGAAATGCTTTGTTAAGCCAGGTATTTCCTCATGGAGATTCTGGCACATTCTGTGCTCCACATCCCACCTGCCCTCACTCCCTCCCCAGCATCCATCTCCCCCTCCCCCTCCCCAGCCTCCGTCATCCCCTCCCCCAGCCTCTGTCTCCCCCTGTCCCCCACCACCTCTCCCCGGTCCCACAGCCTCCATCTCCTCCCTACCCTCCCGCCCCAGACCCATCTCCCCGACCACCCCCATCGTCCCCCTCCCCAGGTCCATCCACCCCCTGGTCCCCACCACCCAGGCCCATCTCCCCCAACCCCATCCCCCTCCCCAGGCCCATCTCCCCCCAGCCCGCTCCCCCTCCCCCAGCCTCCATCTCCCCCTGGTCCCCCTCCTCGGGGGTCTGCGGGGCTCAGACCCCCCAGCCGGCTCTGGCTTCCAGCCTGGGCCCCCCGCCCGCCCGCTGCAGGCAGGCCTGGCCGCTTCCCCCGGGCCACAGCCTCACATCAAACCCGTGCTCATTAAGAGGCTCCGTGTGTGCCAGGGTGACATCTTTATTCGTGCGCCCGGAGACTTCAAAGCCTCCAGGAGATCTCCTCAGTGGATTAGACATGAAAAATGTCGGCGATGAGACGAGCGAGGAAGCAGACGGCCGCTCCGGGCGTTAATTAGGCAGGGGGTGGGGGCTCCAGCCGAGGTGAGGGGCACGGGGCGGCCTTCTCAGGGCCGAGGAGTCCAGCCTGCCGCCGGCTCGCCGTGGCCACGGTCCCAGGGCACCAAGACATCAGAACTCGCCCGCCTGCCGGCCAGGCCCTTGCAGATGGGCGAAGCTGGGCCCTCCAGGGAGGCCACTCTACAGCCAGCGTCCCCTGCTGCCTGCAAACGAGAACTGATTCCCGGCCACGCGGGTCTGTGAGCCCGTGGTGGGGAGGAGGAAGCTGGCTCGGGCCACCCCAGGAGCTCCAGGTGGCCGAGGGGGCTCGAGGCTGGGGGCCTGGGGGGAGGCAGGCTGTCCTCTGCTGATGGGTCCCTGCAGGGTCCCCTCTGGAGATGAAGCAGGACGGGGGAGTGGGGGGTCTTCAGCGGGGCAGTGGGGTCACTCTTAGGGCTTCCAGGATGTGTGGTGGCCCCGGGGAGGAGCCAGGAGCAGTCAGGAGCCAGGGGCTGCTGTCCTGGAGGGAAACGCAGACATGAAGTGGGGGAGCCCAGAGGAGGTGGGGGAGGGGGCCTTTGGGGCGGGGCCAGCTGGGCCCCCTAGGGGAGGGCGCAGAGGAGGAGCTGGTGTGGAGATGCTGAGCTCAGTTGGGGGGGGGGCCAGGAGCCTCCCGACTCTAGGTGAGAGGCTGAGATGGGAACCTCAGGCCCAGAGCCCATGGGGAGCGTCCACCTGAGACGTAGGGTCAGGGCTGGGCCAGGCTCTCACCAGCGTCCTGTCCCCAGGGAGACTGTCTCAGGCCTTGGGGTCCTGGGCCTCCACTGGGGCTGGAAAGGGAGACGTAAGGAGCCATGCCCAAGGGGTGGGGGTCCAGGTCTGACCCTGAGAAGCAGCGGAGCGAGGACCCGGGGAAGGACTGCCTTGGGGGCTCCACGGCCATGGAAGACCTGGGTCTGGCCCCGGAGGACCGCGTTGATCCCCAGGCCGAGGTGCTCGCGGACTGTCCTCCTGGCTCCGCGTGGTCCCCGCCCGCAGCCTGGGGACTGTGGACACCAGGCCAGGGGGCAGGCCTCTGGCGGTCCCCACCAGTGTTCCCCAGAACGTTTCCAAGGGGAGACGTCAGGGCAGAGGGCAGCTGAGAAGGGATGTCCCTGGGCCCTCGGGCCTGCGAGACAAGAAAAGAGAAAGCCGTCTAAACACGCCTCTCCCCACCAGGCGGGGTGGGCCAGTGGAGCTACTGACCGGCCCATTTGGGGCGCCAGCTTTGATTACGTGTGTCGCCTGGGTGACCAGTCTCATCGAGGGGCAGCTTCAGGGCCTCCGGGCAGGGGTCCTTGTCCAAGGCCGCTGCGTGGGGTAGGCGTGTGAGCTGTGTTGCCTCTGAAAGTATCAAAGGAAAAAGAGGAGGAAGTCTGCGAGAATTACAGATGCCCCAGCTGGAAGGGCCCTGTAGCCACACGCCCCCCACCCCACCCCGCAGATGGGTGCCTAGACCCCAGATGGGGCCCGTGGCCTCCGAGCAGAGCAGGCGGGGGGCAGGGGTGGGAAAGCTCTGCAGAGACCTCTCCAACTCAAACTGAGCTGCTTCCCTTTGTTCAGGCCCGGTGCCGTCTGTAATTAGAAAATAAATTACTTTGCCTCAAAGAAGCACGCCTGGTCCCAGCTGCAGGATGAGGGGATCAGAGGCAAGGAGCCATCCACACAGCCTGACAGGTGCAGAGCCAGCGCCTATCAGCCCGTCCAGGCAGCCGAGGCCCCGACAGGGTGGGAGGGCGGGGGTCCGGCGGGGTCTGGGGAACAGCGGCTGGGCTCCCGCTGACCCTCAGAGCCTGGAGGAGATTCTGGGCCTCCTCATCCCCTCCCCTTCTGCGTGTGAAGTGACGGTATGGGCCCAGGTGTCCTGCAGGGCAAGGTCTGCCCCGGGATCCGCCTGCGGTTATCACCCCCAACCTGTCTGCCTTCACCCACCCGCTCCGGCCACTCACCCCCACCCCAGGCCTTTCCCCTGCCTTCCCGTCTTTGTGGAGACGTCCCTACCCCAGGGCCTCCACCCTGGAGGTCTCTACTCTCGGGGTCCCTGGCTGAACACCCCTCCCTCCTGCTTCCTCCAGAGCCTACGTCTTTGTCACCCGAAGATGGATGCTCAGACTTCTGTGCTGTCTCTCCTGTCCCCCCAGATATGCTCAACCCGGGGTTCCCAACTGCAGACCTGGGGTCCCTGGGGACGGCCCCAGCCCACCTGGAGTTTACTTCCCTGGGTCTCACCCGCCTTCAGGGCCTCCCCAGCACCAGGAGGACGAAGCCGGCACAGAGGGGCTCCTTAGAGGCACCTGGGGCCGGGCAGACATTCCCTGGGGCAAGGGGGCTCGGGGGACGATCTGGCGGGAAGATGGTCTGTGGGGAGCCCCTGCAGGCCTGCGGCAGAGACCCAAGTGCCCAGAGAGGGAGAGGCCGTGGACACGCTGGTGTCCCGCGTGCCTGCACACCCTCACCCAGGTGGGAAGGTCCTGGGCTTGGGGACCTGTGGGTCCCCTGGCAGTTATAGCCACCCCCTAATCCCAGGAGGGGCCGCCCTGCCCAGCGAGCTTCAGTCCCGCAGGCCTGTGTAGGGTCAGGGGGTTCAGACCCAGCACATGGCAGGGCTCACACGTTTCTCACTGTGGCCTTCGAGTTGCCTGCAATTGTCTTTCTGAGGGTGGGTGAGGGATCGCCCTGACGTGACCCCCAGGTCTGTAATGTTAGAGATGCCCTCCACCTGCTGTTTGAGGGCTGAGATCACCATGCAAAGCGACCCGCGGAAGAGGCACCTCCGAGGTCACTCGCCCCAGAGGTGACCACATCCTGACGTCCAACAACGCAGAGGCTTTGTTCTGGCTTTGAACCATGAGTCCTCCAGCACAGGGATACCCAGCCTCCGGGGCCTGCTGCCTGCTGATCTGAGGTGGAGCTGAAGTCACGATGGTAGAAATAAAGTGCACAGTAGACACAACATGCTCGAGTCATCCCCAAACCTCCCTCCCCCAGTCCCACGGAAAACCTTCCCTGAAACCTGGTCCCTGACGCCTGAGAGGCTGGGCACAGCATGGCTGCCCCAGCACGCGCCTTTCTCTCCATCAGGGCCGACGTCGTGAGCTTGGATCTGCGCCCTCGGTGGCCAGTACTCGGGCGTGGTCCGTCCAGGCTCGTGGGCATCTAAGGCGTTTCTGCTGTGCATGGCCCCAGGTGTGGACCTGCAGGCTCGTGGGGCAGAGGGGAGTCCGCGTGGTGGGCGGCAGCTGTCAGCTGCTCGGGGTGGGGTGCGGGCTCATGGCTCCCACTCCCGCAGCACCTGCAAGGGCGGGGGGCACCCCTGCCCCCCTGCGGGGTCTGCCCTGCGTGTGGCCTGCAGAGGTGCGTGGTCGCTCAGCGGACCCCATCTGCTTCCCTCTGTACCTCCACGCTGACCGCACAGGGTGGTCACTTGCAAGTGTTTGTTGTGAAAGGCAAGAAGGGGGTGGGGAGGGAGGAGGGATGGGGAGGGGCTTCCCCTCAAGCTGGGCCAGGTAGCAGAGGAGCCCCGGAGGCCAGCAGATCGAGCAGGCACCGGCCAGCCCCCGACGACTGCAGGCAACGAGCCGGGAGCTGCCTGGGGAGGTCACTTGAAGGTCCGGAAGATGCAGGGCGGGGGGCCGGCTCACCCCCGCCCCCACTTTCTTTGGGAGCACATGAACAAGCTCTCGGGGGTAGACAGAAGGACGTGGCCGGGCCTCCAGTGCCGGGGACAGAAGATCAGAGAGGCCAGGGAGCCAGGAGGCGCCGCGGGGCCAAGGCTGGTGGGCGCATGTCTGGGGTCTGTCGGACGAGGAGGCCGATGACCGAGAGGACAGAGCCCGTCGTCCCAACACACGCCGCACTGTCGCTCGGTCATCAGCATCTGCTCGCCTCTCTCCACCTGCTGCCTCAGGCCCTCTGCACGGCGGCTCTGTGCACGGAGGTCTTAGACCCACTTCAGAGACGGGTAGACTGAGGCACAGAGAAGTCACAGGGAGCGCAGGGTGGGAGCACCCAGCAGTCCCGCCTGGACTCCCTGCTCTCAGACCCACAAAAAAGTTCAGTGAATCCTGGTGTTTCTCCTTTTGCTAACATTTTTTTAGATTTATTAATTTTATCTCCGGCCATGCGGCGTATTTGTTGCTGCACATTTTCTCTCATTGTGGAGATCGAGGACAGGGCTGTTCCTTTGTGGACACCGGCTTCTCACGGCAGTAACTTCTCTCGTTGTGGTCCGTGGACTCTGGGCACACGGGCCCTGGCACATGGGCTCTGGGCACACGGGCCCTGGCACACAGGCTCTGGCACATGGGCTCTGGGCACACAGGGCCTGGGCACACGGGCCCTGGCACACGGGCTCTGGGCACACAGGCTCTGGCACACGGGCTCTGGGCACACGGACCCTGGCACATGGGCTCTGGGCACACAGGGCCTGGGCACACGGGCCCTGGCACACGGGCCCTGGCACACGGGCTCAGGCACATGGGCCCTGGCACATGGGCCCTGGCACACGGGCTCAGGCACACAGGCTCTGGGCACACGGGCCCTGGCACACGGGCTCGGGCACACGGACCCTGGCACACGGGCCCTGGCACACGGGCCCTGGCACACGGGCTCAGGCACACAGGCTCTGGCACACAGGCTCGGGCACACAGGCCCTGGCACACGGGCTCAGGCACACGGGCTCGGGCACACGGGCCCTGGCACACAGACCCTGGGCACATGGGCCCAGGCACACGGGCTCGGGCACACGGGCCCCATGGTTGTGGATCCATAATTGTGCCCCACAGGCTCAGTCATTCCGTGGCACATGGAATCTTCCCTGACCAAGGATCAGACCCATGTCCCCTGCATTGACAGGTGGATTCTTAACCACTGGGCCAACAGGAAAGTCTTCTAACATTTTTAATGTTAAAAATAAAGGGGGAAGAATCTAGTTTGGGTAGACATTTTAATTCACTGATTCTCCTTTATGAAATATGCAACGAAAAAAAATAAGCACAGGGGATGTGAACGGTGTGGTTAGAGCAGAGAATTAATGCATAAACATCCGTCATTACGGCCAACAGACAGAGAATGTGCTGCTAGGCTGAGGGTCGCCGAGGGTCCATAAAGCATCTTTAGAAGCTGACCTGGTAGGCAGGGTGCAAATGTCAAAAATGTCTGAACAGATCTCTTAGAGACAAAAGTCCCGACCACAGTATAATAAAACTAGAAATAAATGCTTCCTGAAAATAGAAAATTGGAGATTTAAGACTACTGTCATCGATAACACCTAGGTCAAGGGGGAAATCGAGCACACAGCAGACGCTGTAGAAAACAATGGCATCTCAGCCCCGGGAATCAGAGCCTCTGGGACCGCCCTCCCCCCCAGGCTCCCCCACCACCCTCAATGCTTCTGCTGTCAGAGACCCGCTCGGGACACAGAACACAGCAGACGCGCTTTCCACCTCAGGTCCTTAAGGAGAGAACAAGCCCCAGGGAAACGGGAGAAAGGAAATAATAAAGATAAAAGCAAATAAATACATTACAGAACATAACATCAGTGGCAGTAAATAAATACCAGATCTGGTTCTTTGAAAATAAGCTAGTAAAAAAGAAAAACCTCCTACAAACCCAATCAAGGAAAATTCTGTTAAGTGCAGAGCCTTCCAGCTTCAAATTCAGCGCTTGTTAATTCTTTAAAGGCGGTCAGGTTATTAGACCAGGGAAAACACAGACTCTGCTAAGGCCACGGGGCGGGGAGTTTCCAGCTGACATATGCGGGACCGATGTCCGTCTGGGATGCCGCCCGTGGTACAGGGGACGTGAAGGTCCCAGCCTGCCACCAGGGACATCCGATCCCTGGGAGGCATCCTCAAAGGCATCTAGGGGCTGTTGTCCAAGGTTCCGAGTGCTGGAGTGGGTGGGGCCCTGCGGCCCTGAGCCCATTTCACAGGTGTGAATGGTGAGGTCATTGAGCCAAGTGACGTGGAAGCCCCCAGCACCGGCCCCTCTGTGCCGCGGGGAATGGTCTCCTATCCCACCCTCCCTGTCTCTGTTCTAAATTTCCCTAGTTCACTTTTCTGATGAATGTCTTTCCCACATTCCTTTCTTGTTTCTAAGCAAGGAAGCCAAGGTCTCAGCAGGTCCGAGTGGAGCACGCGGAGCTCCAGTTGCTGAGTGAGGGCCCCACGCCCACGTGCCTTTCTCAGGAAGCCAGCAGAATGCTCGATTTTATCATCGCTTTGTGGACAAGGCGAGTTCACAGCACACGTGACCAGAAGGAGCACGCAAGGTAGCCAAGTGGAGAGGGCCTTTTCTCGGCCAGATCTGTTGTAGGCTGCGTCCAGGCGTGATCCTCTGTGGATCAGCCCTTCCTGAACTTGGGCGACCGTCTCCTTCACACGTTAGGGAGGTTTCCATCTATTATCTCTTCCCATATGTTCCCAGACCCTTTCTCTCCCTTCCTCCTCCTGACACCCCTAACGCGAGCATCAGTGCCCTTGACGTTGTCGCGAGACCATCCTCACTTCTTGTCTCCTTCCCCGCTTTCTCTGTCCCACGGCAGTGATGCCCACCACTCTGTCTTCCAGCTCACTGATGGTCCCTCTGGGTCCCGCGGTCTCCTGTTGGTTCCCCCCAGGACTTTCTCATTTATCATGTCCTTTGTGTCTTCCCTTTGTTAGAAACTTCTGACTTCTCGCCCTGCGCGTCTTTCTGCCCCGAGTTCTGGGTCACCCCACAGTCACCGCTCTGAACTCGGGCGGCCCGGCCCGCGTCACTCAGGTCTGCTCCTGAGGTCTGTCCTGCTCCTAGTCTGGGGCATTGCCATTCGTTTTCCATTTCTCGACCTGGGCGAGGTGGGAGCGTCCTGGGCGTCCCCTCTCCCCGGGCGCTGACAGGGGCTCTGGCGGGCAGGTGGGGGACCCGGCCCTGCCGTGTGTGTATGCTGCTGGCGAGCGGGGTCTGGTCACGCGGTGGCCGCTTCCAGAATCCTAGGGCCCCCGGCTGGTTCCGGCTCACTGGGGGCAGAGTCAAGCCCAGGAGACTCTGGGCCTCGCCCACCCACGGGTGGGGAAGCCAGGCCTGGGGTGGTGGTGCTCCCTACAGGCAGGCGGAGCTGGTCCTGGAGTGGGGGCCCACTGGTGGGGGGCGGCTCCTGATGGTCAGGTGGGGGCCTGGGGGATCCCGAAGCTCGTGCTGGCTGCTAGTGCGCAGGGCTGGGGCCCAGCTGGTCCCGGGGGGGAGGGGGCGTCTGGGTCTGGTCTGCTCTGGGTGGGCTGAGTCTGGGGGGTGCAGGACTGTGGTTTCCTTTGTCTCCCCCTGGTGGGCAAGGCTGGCCTAGTGGCCCCACAGCTGGACGACGCTGCGTCCTGGCCGTCTGGTGGGCAGGGCCGTATCCACCACGGGAGCTCAGGGGGTCTCAAGGCGGCCTGTCTGCTGGCGGCTGGAGCTGTGACCCTGCCCTGGGGCTGTGTGACTGAGTCTGCCAGCTCTGGGTCTGACGGGCCCGGATCTCAGGCCAGAGGCTGTGTTCACGGAACCAGTGTGTCTCCAGGCGGGCCCCAGCCTCCCCGTCTCTGCAGGAGACGCTCCGGGGGCAGCAGGTGGGTCCGGCCTGGGCTCCTGCCCAGCTGAGCGTGCATGAGGTTTTGTGCGGCCGTGTCATCAGGAGTCTGTGGGTCTCTGCCTCACCGCCTTGGCAGCCAGATGCTCTGGGGGCCCCCGGGGTCACACCCCGCACGGGGAGCAGTGTGGGCTCGGAGCGCTCACTCCTGGGGGACGCTCTGCAGCGTCACCTCCCCCCAGGCTGTGGGTTGCCTGCCGGGGCGCAGAGCTAGACTGTACCCTGGGTGCCCCCCCGCGGTCTCATCACGGGCCCTTGTGCTGGAGGAGAAGGGGCATGAGGGGACGGCAGGCCCCAGGTCTCAGGCGTGTCCCTGGCCGGCCGCCCGGTGAGGGTCCCTGGCTTCAGGCAGGAAGGAACTGAAGCACCGCGTGAAGGGGAAGCGCGCTCCCTGAGTGCGGGGCCCCGCAGGGCGCGGTGCTCGGGATATGTGAGCCGGGTGACTGCGTGGCCTGATGTGGCGGGGGGTGAGCCCAGCTACTCAGGGAAGGGGCTGGCATTTCCAGGACTTGGGCCACCGGCCTCTGTCCTGGCCGCCGTGGGGACGACGTGTCACCGTGGGTGGGAATGAGGTTCGAGGTTGGCTCTTTGCCCTCTTGCGTCTGGTTGTTGGTTCTAGCCCGAGTCAGCTGCGTCCTGTCCCTCTCGGTGGCTGGGTCATTCTCTCCCGAGTGTGCCCTGCCCCCTCCCTCCTGTCTCACTCCTTCCTGTCTTCAGCGTGGACGGTCTTTCCTGCTCCTTTCCGGTCTTCTCCGACGACCGCTCTTCTGTGATTTTGGTGGGCTGTGATTTTGGTGGGCTCCTGAGAGGGGCTGAGCCAGGCTCCCCCCGCCACCCTGGCCGCTCCCCTCAGTGCAAACCCAGATTCTAGGTCACACGTCATTGTGAACCCACGGTCTCGTGTATTTAACTTCTTTATGTAGCTGAGCACGTTTTAGGAGGGGATGAGATTCTGGTATCACGTCACTTACAACTTTCAGGGGACGGGGACCCAAATCAAGCTGGTTTAGGCAAAATACGGGGCTTCCCTGGTGGTGCAGATGGTAAAGAGTCTGCCTGCAGTGTGGCAGACCCGGGTTCAATCCCTGGGTCAGGAAGATTCCCCTGGAGAAGGAAATGGCAAACCCACTCCAGTATTCTTGCCTGGAGAATCCCACAGACAGAGGAGCCTGGCAGGCTACAGTCCATGAGGCCGCAAGGAGTCTGACACAATTGAGCAGCTTCACTTTCACTTAGGCAAAATAAATCAAGGACTTCCTGGTGGTCTAATGGCTAAGACTCTGTGCTCCTAATGCAGGGGGCCCAGGTTCGCTCCCACGTCAGGGAACTAGACCCCACATGCCACAACTTAGAGTCTGCATGCTTCATTTAAATGTCTCATGGGCTGCGGCTGAGACCTGGTTCAGCCAAACAAAGAAATAAATACATATTAAAAAAACAAACAAAAAGACAAGTGGGCATCTCTCGGCTGGGCCCTGGGGGTCCCGGGGCTACAGCACATCCATGACGGCCTGGCCAGCGCCCTTGGGTCTGCTTCCTGGAGAAGTGGCCGGGTCCGGGGACCGCGGGGTCCCCTCTGCCCACGCAGGAGCCAGTGCTGCTGGTGAACACACGCCGCAGATGAGGCCGAGGAAGGCCTCCGTCTCCTGAGCCCGTTCTCAGGATGCAGCTGGAAGGCCTCAGGTGTTGTGCGTGAGAGAGGGAGCCCCAGTGTTTGCGTCCAGGTGCCACCTGTTCAGACTTCTCTGTCCTTCCATTTTTCTCCGCTTCACACGTTCTCATCAGAAATAAATGGCAGGAGAGTGGCCAGCTACGTTTGGTTTTAAATGATAAGGGAATGATACAGATTTTGCTGGTAAGGCTGGGGTTTGTCTGCTTGAACCTGAGGCCCCTCCCCCTGCCTGGTGGGTGGGCGTCCCACTTGAGGGCTTCCTGCACCACTGTGCCCTCCCCAGGGTCTCAGGCGACAGGACAGGCCGTGTAGCCAGACCCTGGGTTCCCCAGCTCTTTGCACACGGCTGGTCTCTGGACGAGGGAGGGGGCACCGCAGCGGCCTGTCCCCAAGAGCTGCCCGTCGAGCGCGCGGGAGCGAGAGGAGGCTTGGCGGCGTCGACCCAGAGGCTGGGGCCTGCGCACAAACCTGCACCCCTCATCCTGCAAATGGGTCCTGCTGTGTTGCTCAGAGGCCGCCGAGGGGGCTCCCTGTGATAAACCTCATGGCCGGGGCTGCACAGGGAATGTTTAGTGAAACGTTTGCTGACAGAGCGATGGGGTGGGGGGCGGGGGCAAGGGTCAGCGGGGTTCTGGGCTCCAGAGTTTGCAGCCTCGGTCAGAGGGCAGCAGCTGAGGTCAGAGCACAAGTGTGGGCTCCGGCCCCAAGCCAGCTGGACGGGGCTGCCTCTGTGCGATGGTCTGAATTCTTTCCTTGCAAACGGCAGTCTCACTCAAACTGGTTGGAGTCTTAACCACGGTAGGTCGTCTCAAACACTGGAAAACCCACTTAAGTCAAGGTGGGGGCACCCAGGACTCTCCCTCCCGTCTCTCTCCCTGGGAGCCCCCGCCCCGCCCCCCAAAGCCTCTCATCCTCCACTGGCATGGCTGCATGCCGTCTGCTGGTCCATGATGTGAACTGCAGGGTCTGGTCTCGGGAATCAAGCGTTTTCTAGTGAATCAGGGGCATCGGCCCTTTGTTTTCGGTGAGATTTCCCTCTTTTCATGTTTCATGGTGTCCTCATAGGCATCTGCTGGTCATTACCTCTGATTCCTCCTCTCTGCACGAGGCCGTGTGTTGTGGACGAGCTGTCTCCCGCAGGCGCCATGGAGGAGAGCCAGGCTCTCGGCCAGCGCAGGCTGAGTAGGCACCCGTCCACGCCTGGCAGTGTGACTGTCCCCTGGAGGTCTGGTCCCCGCATGGCCAGGGGCTGGCTGCAGGTGTGTGGTCGTCCACCAGGGCCGCCACTGAGCCGGCTCGCTGCACCCCGCCGAGACTGCGTGCACAGCAGACCAAGGCTCCGTTCCTCCTCTGCGGAAGGGCCGGCCTCACAGCCGCGGCTGGCTCTCCCGCAAACACCAGTACTTTGGCAGCTGCTTCTGGCTCCTCCGGCCCCGGGCAGTCTCTCTCTTCCCTCCTGCACTCCTGCTCAGACCGTATTGCTTTTTTCTGCTTCACCTATTTTTGTGATTTGATGTTTCAGCTAAATCCTCATTCTGATCAATCTGGAGTCTGATTTTCTTGCTATTTCGGAGAGATTGCAGGGAGATGGGTCTGTTTTCAGAAGTCGCCTTTGTATTTTTAAATTTTGCAACAATTTCGCTTCCAGTCAATGTCATCCAATGCACACATCATATCTGGGTATGGTGAGAAGACAGGTTCTCACCTGGGTCTTGCAGAAAACACAGATTTCAAGGGGATGTGGAGGGTGTTTGTGGGGCCCGGGTGATGCCGCTCCCCCCTGGAAGCCGGCGTGGTTTCAGTGCCTGCCTGCTTCTGTTCCGATGCTCCGGCAATCTGGCTTCCTAGTTGGAAAGCTCAAAGCCCAACTTTAGTTGATTTATTCAGAAGCAGAGCTTGTTGAAAGAATCCTGGGGCATCTCAGAGAATATTATAGGAAGATCCGCAGGGTTGTTTTCAGGGCTCCCCCTCTGGACACCGCTTCAGAAGCCTGCTGCAGAGCGGGGGCTGTGCCCCCAGCATCCCCAGCCCAGGCTCTGGGAGTCTGGGGTCTGGGCTGTGTGCCGTCGCAGCTCTGAGCCAGGCTGGAAGGCGGGTGCTGGGGTCCCCGCTGCTTCCACGGGGCCGGCTGGTGGGCTCTGCCTCCTGGCCCAGGGGTGCCCATTGGCTGGGACGGTGCTGGCTTCTTCCTCCTTGACCGTCACGGCTGCAGACCCCTGAGCAGGGCAGGCGCTGCGCTGGGGTAGACCCCCTGGCTGAGGCGTCCCCTGCCCCCAGCCCACAGCCCCCTGTGTTGGCTTGGCCCCCTCGGTCCCCCCGTGCCCCCCCAGTGACCCTCCGGGGAGGAAGAGGCCAGCACCGCCCCAACAGCCACCTCCTGCCCAGACACCAACCCCCAGGTAACCCCTCTGCCTTTTCTGCCCTTTGACAGGCATGGAGGCCCTGCAGCACCTGGCTGGCAGGGTTCTCTCACAAAGGAAATCACATCTTTCCAGTGGGACGGCAAGAGGAACAAACTGACAGGCAGCAGGGAGATGGACCATGCGCTGGCCAGAGGCTTCAGGGGTGTGGCGGAATCTCAGGGTGACTGGAGCAAGTGCTCTGTCCCCTCGGGTGCTCATCCCCTGATGCTCTGTCCCCTCGAGTGCTCATCCCCTGATGCTCTGTCCCCTCGGGTGCTCATCCCCTGATGCTCTGTCCCCTCGGGTGCTCATCCCCTGATGCTCTGTCCCCTCGGGTGCTCATCCCCTGGTGCTCTGTCCCCTCGGGTGCTCATCCCCTGATGCTCTGTCCCCTCGAGTGCTCATCCCCTGATGCTCTGTCCCCTCAGGTGCTCATCCCCTGATGCTCTGTCCCCTCGGGTGCTCATCCCCTGATGCTCTGTCCCCTCGGGTGCTCATCTCCTGGTGCTCTGTCCCCTCGGGTGCTCATCCCCTGGTGCTCTGTCCCCTCGGGTGCTCATCTCCTGGTGCTCTGTCCCCTCGGGTGCTCATCCCCTGGTGCTCTGTCCCCTCGGGTGCTCATCCCCTGATGCTCTGTCCCCTCGAGTGCTCATCCCCTGATGCTCTGTCCCCTCAGGTGCTCATCCCCTGATGCTCTGTCCCCTCGAGTGCTCATCCCCTGATGCTCTGTCCCCTCGAGTGCTCATCCCCTGATGCTCTGTCCCCTCAGGTGCTCATCCCCTGATGCTCTGTCCCCTCGGGTGCTCATCCCCTGATGCTCTGTCCCCTCGGGTGCTCATCTCCTGGTGCTCTGTCCCCTCGGGTGCTCATCCCCTGGTGCTCTGTCCCCTCGGGTGCTCATCCCCTGATGCTCTGTCCCCTCGGGTGCTCATCCCCTGATGCTCTGTCCCCTCGGGTGCTCATCCCCTTGGTGCTCTGTCCCCTCGGGTACTCATCCCCTGATGCTCTGTCCCCTCGGGTGCTCATCCCCTGATGCTATGTGCCCTCGGGTGCTCATCCCCTGATGCTCTGTCCCCTCGGGTGCTCATCCCCTGATGCTCTGTCCCCTCGGGTGCTCATCTCCTAGTGCTGTGTGCCCTCGGGTGCTCATCCCCTGATGCTCTGTCCCCTCGGGTGCTCATCCCCTGATGCTCTGTCCCCTCGGGTGCTCATCCCCTTGGTGCTCTGTCCCCTCGGGTACTCATCCCCTGATGCTCTGTCCCCTCGGGTGCTCATCCCCTGATGCTCTGTCCCCTCGGGTGCTCATCCCCTGATGCTCTGTCCCCTCGGGTGCTCATCCCCTGATGCTCTGTCCCCTCGGGTGCTCATCCCCTGATGCTCTGTGCCCTCGGGTGCTCATCCCCTGATGCTCTGTCCCCTCGGGTGCTCATCCCCTGATGCTCTGTCCCCTCGGGTGCTCATCCCCTGATGCTCTGTGCCCTCGGGTGCTCATCCCCTGATGTTCTGTCCCCTCGGGTGCTCATCCCCTGATGCTCTGTCCCCTCGGGTGCTCATCCCCTGGTGCTCTGTCCCCTCGGGTGCTCATCCCCTGATGCTCTGTCCCCTCGGGTGCTCATCCCCTGATGCTATGTGCCCTCGGGTGCTCATCCCCTGATGCTCTGTCCCCTCGGGTGCTCATCCCCTGATGCTCTGTCCCCTCGGGTGCTCATCTCCTAGTGCTGTGTGCCCTCGGGTGCTCATCCCCTTGGTGCTCTGTCCCCTCGGGTACTCATCCCCTGATGCTCTGTCCCCTCGGGTGCTCATCCCCTGATGCTATGTGCCCTCGGGTGCTCATCCCCTGATGCTCTGTCCCCTCGGGTGCTCATCCCCTGATGCTCTGTCCCCTCGGGTGCTCATCTCCTAGTGCTGTGTGCCCTCGGGTGCTCATCCCCTGATGCTCTGTCCCCTCGGGTGCTCATCCCCTGATGCTCTGTCCCCTCGGGTGCTCATCCCCTTGGTGCTCTGTCCCCTCGGGTGCTCATCCCCTGATGCTCTGTCCCCTCGGGTGCTCATCCCCTGATGCTCTGTGCCCTCGGGTGCTCATCCCCTGATGCTCTGTCCCCTCGGGTGCTCATCCCCTGATGCTCTGTCCCCTCGGGTGGTCATCCCCTGGTGCTCTGTCCCCTCGGGTGCTCATCCCCTGGTGCTCTGTCCCCTCGGGTGCTCATCCCCTGATGCTCTGTCCCCTCGGGTGCTCATCCCCTGATGCTGTGTGCCCTCGGGTGCTCATCCCCTGGTGCTCTGTCCCCTCGGGTGCTCATCCCCTGATGCTCTGTCCCCTCGGGTGGTCATCCCCTGATGCTCTGTCCCCTCGGGTGGTCATCCCCTGGTGCTCTGTCCCCTCGGGTGCTCATCCCCTGGTGCTCTGTCCCCTCGGGTGCTCATCCCCTGATGCTCTGTCCCCTCGGGTGCTCATCCCCTGATGCTCTGTCCCCTCGGGTGCTCATCCCCTGATGCTGTGTGCCCTCGGGTGCTGTCTCCTGATGTCTGTCCCCTGGTCCCTCTGGGGCAGAACCCTGACGCCATGCTGGGGAGGTGGTGACAGTGCCAATCCCCCGGAGAGAAGGGCACCCAGCCCCGGGCACCCACACGTGGGCCCCCACCTGCACCAACACCCCACTTTGCCCCCACCCTGCATTCTTGGGAACCCACTCTCTGCTTTTCTGGATAGATTCCAACTGGATGTTCAACATGAAATAAAAATTAAAGTAAGAAGAAATCTAAGATGATTCCAGTTTGGTAAGAAAAGCCATCTGTCCCTGCCTAGGGAGAGCTATTGGGAGGGAATATACATGTTCACAGTGGTTGTCTCTGGCAGGAGGTGCAGGCGGCTTCAGCTTCTCTTTGTTTTTGCCAGTTTCCTAGATTTTCTACAGTTTTGTAGAACATGTACTACTTTTACAATAAGGGAAAAAACAGTAAAACAATAAATTTTTAAAAAACAAAAAGTTTAAAAGTATCAACATCTGAAAGTGGAGGCTTGCATCGCCAGTAAATTAAGGGACACTTGGTTCCTTGATGAGAGAATATTTCAGGTTTCAAAGAGGCTCACAGCTCTGTGAATAAAACAGGCATGCGATAAATATTTGCTGAGACAATTAATAAATGAGTTCTCTCCGGGGTTTCCTGAAGCGCAGACTCCCCAGTGCATCTTAAATGAAACCAATTTACGGAATGTGATTGTCCCTCCCCACCACATGTGCTGCTAGAGGGAGAAGACGGGATGTGGCTGGATGCTGGGTTCCTGCTCTGCCCGAGGGGTCAGTCGTGGGCCCCCCAACACCCCCCAGCTCCCATTTCCTTACCAGAAGAGGAGGAATCACAGCCACTGGCCAGCCAGGTGCTTTCCTGCTTGTCAAAGGCCTTCAGGAAGTGTCTGCCGTGGCTCAGAGTGTCACAGTTATGAGTCTTCAGAGACCCAGGGAGTAAAAATAGTTTCTTCTTTGTGAGCCGTGAACACACAGAAGATTGCACCAGCCAGAAATGCACATCAGGGGGGTCATCACAGGCAGACCCCAGGAGCACCGCCCGGGGCAGAAAACCCGACCCTGCCTCTCCCCACCTGCCCTGAATGCTCTCTCCTGACTTTCACGCTGACCACGTCCCCTCTTTCCTGCATAGTTTTATCCTGTTACGCTGCATCACCAGAACATGGCTGTTTAGTTTGCCTGTTTTTTGTTTGTGTTTTTATAATTTTTATTGGAGTATAGCTGTCTACAATATTGTGTTAGTTTCAGGCGCACAGGAAACTGAAACTAGTGGTTCGGTCACACACATACACACATTCATCCTTGTTCAGGCTTTTTTCCCAACATAGGCTATTACAGAGTATTGAGTGGAGTTCCCTGTGCTATTCAGCAGGTCCTCATTATAATAGATGTCTATTTTCAGTGTCGCCTGTTTTTACTTTTTTACTATTATTTCCTGACGCACCAGGTCTGGGATGCGTCATGGTTGCAGGATCTTTAGTTTCGGCGTGTTCAGTCCTACTGTGGGGTCCAGTTCCCTGACCAGGGGTGGAACCCGGGCCCCTGTATTGGGAGCGCTGAGTCTTAGCCACTGGACTAAGGGAAGACCCCATCTTTGCCTGTTTGTTCTTTTTAAAAATAGAATGGAATCATAGTTTGTCTCCCTTTTTATTTGGCATTTTTGCTCAGCATCTTTTGTGAGGTTCATCCGCACTGTTATGCACTCATGGTTTGTTCACTGTGCTGTGGTATTTGGCTGGGTCACTACCCCTCACTCACATCTGTTGCCCTGTTGATGGACAGGTGGGCGTTTCCAGTTGGGGCTTTGCTGGGGGGGCCCAGGACCCACTGACCTGCTGCTCTGCCTTCACACACTTCTCTTGAGCATAAACCTTACCCGCCACAGCCCTTCCAGACTGGAGTTGTTGTTGTGGTTCTGTTTGGTTTTGAATTTTTATTGTAAAGTATGCATAACACCTCCCTGCCAGGCCTGGTCTCCAAGCGCTGGAGCCTCGTGGCCGGGGCAGGACGGCCGAAGCCGGGGGTGCCCACCGGGACATCCGGCCCTGGGGTTCGCGCTGCAGGCCACTTCCCATGTTGGTGCTGCCCTTCCAGGGGGACAAACGCTGCCTTTGCACTTACCGTGCGCAGGTGCAGGTCCGCCTGCGTTGCTGGCCTCGGCTCAGTAACGCCGAGAATGGCTCTCTGACGCGTGCACCCGTGTGACCCCTGTTTCATAGGAGACGAGCCTGAGCACAGAGAAGCTGAGACACTTGCCCAAAGTCACACAGCCGGTGAGGGAGGGAGCCGTCCCTCCTTCGTCTTGGTCCCTCCCGCCGGCAGCCCAGGCTCCCTCCTGCTGGGTGTGGCTGGCAGGGGGCGGCGGGTGGGCGGGGCTGTGTGTGTCCCCTCCTGTCATTGGCCCTTTGCCAGCGGCCACGCCTCCCCAGCGCAGCCTAACTCCCCGTCTCATGGGGTCTCTTTGGGGCACACGTCCCATGTCTGATCTCCCACACCCAGCCCTTCCTTCTGGTCCCTTCTGGGTGAGGCAGGTTTTGTGCTCGGGGGTGGCCGGGCACGGGGGAGACTGGCTTAGCGTAGGGACTGGGGCGACATTTGAGAAGCGGCCTGAGGCCCCCAGGTGCAGGCAGCGGCAGGGAGTGGGGGTGCTGACGATGGGAGAGCGGCCAGGTAGGAGATGCAAAGCCCCGGGGCGGGCTGTCCTTGGGTGATGGAGGCGGAACGTGGCCACCAGCGAGGGGCGAGGGCGAGGGGAGCGTGGCGGGCTGGGGCCGCGGGGGTTCAGACCCTGCAGGGCCCCGTCGGCCACTGGATGTGCTTTGGGGCTCACGCATGAGACAGAGGGGGGCCTCGAGCAGGCTACTGCCTGCTGTGCTTGTCTCGGGCTCCCACGGGCTGTCGTCTCCGGAGCAAGAGTGACGTGGAGGCAGCCGGGGGCTGGGCAAGGGCCCTAGAGTCAATGGTGGCAGGCACCAGGGTGGCATCAGCCGGAGGACTCAGGCCGGATTCTGCACAGACTGAAGACGGGGCCGACAAGATTTGTGATTGCAGCAACAGAGCTCGAAATGGAGAAGGGACCTGTTTACTGACCCAAGACAGGAGGAGGAACTGGTTTGGGGAAGAGGGTCGGGAGGGGCGTGTCCCCCAGCTTGCTTGAGCCTCACCCCGGGTCACCAAGTGGAGATGCCAAGGTGAGTCAGGAGTCCTGGAGAGTTCAGCTGGAGGCGGGCCGGTCAGTGCAGAAGTGATATTTAAACCAGCAAACAGGGACTTCCCTGGTGGTCCTGTGGCTAAGACTCTGAGCTCCCCACGGAGGGGGCCCGTGTCCCATCCTTGCTCAGGGAACTAAGACCCAGCACAGCCAAATAAATAAATACTTTTAAAAACTAAACAGCAAATAATACGGGTAGTTGTGGAGGTGCCCAGGCAGGTTAGGGCTTTCCTGGTGGGTGGCTCAATTGGTAAAGAATCTGCCTGCAGTGCAGGAGACCTGGCTTTGATCCCTAGATTGGGAAGATCCCCTGGAGGAGGGCGTGGCAACCCACTCCAGTCTTCTTGCCTGGAGACTCCCACGGACAAGGAGCCTGGCGGCTACAGTCCATGTGGTTGCAAAGAGTCGGACACGACTGAGTGGCTTTGACTTCACTTCGCTTCCAGGCAGGCTGACTGCGTGCTCATCTGTAGCAGGAGGGGCCCAGGCTGGTCAGGAAATGGGGAAAGGCCGGTCCGAGAGGCTTGGCCCTTGACCCCCCCATGTGGGTTCTTCCCGCCCGGAGTTTGGCCCGTGTCCCACATCCCCACAACTGCCCTCAGGCGTCTCACTGCCCGTGTGCCTTGCTGGGCATCCCAGGCCACCATGCTCCGGCTCCAGGGACTGGACGATTGTTGCTTGGCTTCGTGCTGAGGGCCCCTACCCCTCAGTGTGACCAGGAGGGTCAATGGGGGAAGCTCTGGGATGCTCTCGGAAACGCCCGGAAGGAGTCACTGCCTGCGTGAAACAGAGCACACAGGAGATAAAGAGCGCAACAAAGACAGAGCTGGGCACGCAGACGGCGCGCAGCTGGCCCCGGACGGAGTGTCCGCTGCGGTGAATCACCCTCCTCCCGCAGCACGCGTCTTGTGGGTGGGCTCCCTTGCGCTGAATTAAATTTCACCCGATGTCCCTGCGTGGCTTCTTGCTGGTTGCACGTTTCTGATGACTGTTTACTTTGCTCCCCTGCGGTCTTTGAATGGGCGCAGACTTCCAGCAGGGAGACCAGAATGGATCAAACTCTCCCTCACGGTCTCCGCGGGCTCACTCACAGCACCCTACCTCCTCATCCCCGGGTCCCTACAGTCGGACATCGTTACATGAGGAGCAAGGCTCGTCCCAGTCACTTTCTAGCTTTGCCCCAGGGCATGGTTCTTCATCTAAAATGCCCTGTTTGGGTCTCAAAGAGATACTCACACACCCATGTTCCCCACAGCATTATTCACAACCAATAAAGGGTGAAACAACCCAAGTGTCTGACCACAGGTGATCAGTTCAGTTCAGTTCAGTCACTCAGTCGTGTCCAACTCTTTGCGACCCCGTGGACTGCAGTACGCCAGGCCTCCCTGTCCATCACCAACTCCCAGAGCTTGCTCAAACTCATGTCCATCGAGTCAGTGATGCCATCCGACCATCTCATCTTCTGTCATTCCCTTTCTCCTTCCGCCTTCAATCTTTCCCAGCATCAGGGTCTTTTCCAATGAGTCAGTTCTTCACATCAGGTGGCCAAAGGATTAGAGTTTCAGCTTCAGCATCAATCCTTCTAATGAATATTCAGGACTGATTTCCTCTAAGATGGACTGGTTGGATCTCCTTGGTGTCCAAGGGTCTCTCAAGAGCCTTCTCCAACACCACAGTTCAAAAGCATCAGTTCTTCGGTGCTCAGCTTTCTTTATCCACAGGTGGTGGATGAACACAGTGTGGTCCGTTCATGCGGTGGACGGTGACTCAGCCTTTGAAGGGAGGGCAGTGGGACACCTGCTACCACACGGATGAGCCCCGAGAGCAGCGTGACCAGTGAGGTGAGCCTGTCATGTGGGGCGCTGGACTGTGATTAGATGGCAGATTTTATGTTACGGGTATTCTATCACAAATAACAAAAACACTTTTTTGGGGTGGCAGCGTGCAGGATCCTCACTCCTTGACCAGAGATCAAACCCGCACCCCCTGCCTTGGAAGCACAGAGTCTTAGCCACTGGACTGCCAAGGAAGCCCCATAAATAAAAAATTTTAAGTATTTAATGTCCTATGTGCTTCCCTGGTGACGTAGCAGTGCAGAATCCCTCCAGGAGCTCCTGGGTCGAGAAGATTCCCCTGGAGGAGGAAGTGGCAACCCACTCATTTTCTTGCTTGGAGAATCCCATGGACAGGGGAGCCTGGCGGGCTACAGTCCATGTGGTTGCAAAGAGTCGGACACAACTGAGTGACTAAACCACCACAGGGCCCTCCACTGAGGCTCATTTTTCTCATGCAAGCAAGGTTTCTAAACCTGCACAGTTGCCTTGAAAAAAAATTTCCTTGCCCTTTCATGACTGACCCCCTGGATCCACTGGGGCTGGTTTGCAATCAGACGACCTGGGATGTGGTGGCCAGTGTCACAGTGACTTCTCCCTCCACGTGATGATAAGATCTCGAGGGATGGCCGTCCCCGAGGCCCACGGCCAGAGGTGGCGCCAGGACCCAGCCGGGGCTGCCCAGTCCCTGCAGCCCTGCCTGCCCCTGCCGTGATGCACACCCAGACTTCCACAGGTCCTCTCCCTAGCTGTGGTGGGATGCTGAGGACTCGGGGTGTTGGGGGGGCTCCCTGAGCCCCCTTCCCCTCAAACTCTCAGGCACCATACGTGCTTCATAATTTGTTCTCTGCCACTTAACACGTCACTGTGTGCAGCGGTCTGCAGCGTTCCTAATGGGTACCTGGCATCTATGGCATGAATGCCGAACGGACGGTTTCGGCACATTTTTCCCCCAGAGTGTGCTTGTTTCTAGCTTTTTGCTTTTATAATTGCCCCTATCGGGAGCACACTTGTAGATAAATCTTTATTCACTTAATTATTACCTTGGAAGAAATTACTGGAACTCAAATTGCTAGTTCAAAAGGTATGCACGTTTTAAAGGCTTCTGATGCATTTTGCCAAATTGCCCTCCCAGAGACGTTCCGCAAACGTGCGCTCAGACCAGCAGGTTTGCAAGCCCCGTCCCCCTGCACATCCCGACTCTGAGCCTCTGCTCTTTGTTTTCTTCATCTCTTGCCAATCGCACAGCTTTTTTTGAAAAAGCATCTTATTGTTGTTTGCATTTGCATCTCTGTGATCGCTGGCGGTGCCAGCACTTGTCACGTATTTATTAGCCACTTGTGGTTCCTCTTTGTCCGTGTCCTTTGTCCGTCTCTCGCCGAAGCGCCCATCTTCCCCTTGATGATTTATAAAAGTGCTAAGTGTACCTGCTCTCCTGATGGGGGCCCAGCTGGGCGGCCCCCTCCCTGGTTGCTATGCAGATGCGCCCATGGCGGGACCAGTCTCCATGGCCACAGATGCCCGGGTCTCAGCGAGGAGCGGAATGGGGGGAGCGTTGCCATGGTGATGCTACCCAAGCAGGCCTGGCACCCCTCCCGCTCGCTGCGCGGCTTTCCTGGCCAGCCCAGGCAGAGGCTTTGCGGCCGCGGGGGCGCGGGTAGGTGGGGGAGCCCCAGAGAAGTTTCCTGTGTACACCACAAGGCAGGGCTGGTTGCAGGGGCCAAGCCGCCCAGCCTCCGGGAGTCCACTGTTTAGATTACTTACCTCTGAACAGATAGATGTGTGACAGAGAGGAAGCTTCCTGTAGCAAAACTCGACAAGCATGCATGCCCCACGGCCAGACAGACGGTCTGCGATGCGACGGGTGGATGCTGTATTAATAATGTCGGAATTACCTTGTCATCGGCACAGTTGTGGCGCACTTTTGTGTGAAGTGCCTTCTTGTTAGTAACTTGCTAACCGTGTAAAACGCAGACTACTGCTTTAAACCCTTGTGGCGTGTTTTCATGCCTTGTTGAAGCTGAGGGCTGGGGGCTGAGTCCCTGGGCATTGTCCTTGGGTATCGGTGGCAGCCACATTGTCCAAGGTCGTGTCGTTTTCCCCCGGTCTGACCTTTACATGCTGTTTGGACTTTGATGTGTACGTCGGGCTCACGGCAGGCCTCACTTGGAGTGAGCTCTCCGTGTGCCTGGGTGAGGCGGGTATGCAGCAGGGACAAGGGCTGCACTCATTGTATTTATTAAAAGATGAAGCAGAAGCAGTTCGTTGTCCCCAGTATCCATTCCCAACCCCTCTTGCATGGAAATAGAACTCTATAGACTTTCAGCTGGTACATGGTCTCCAGAATAAAGGCTGTATTTCCCAGCATTCCTGGCAGCCAGGGGTGGCCATGTGCGTAAATGCCGCCCTGTGAAGTGTAAGCGGAAATGACCTGCAACTCTGAATATGTGTTCTTAAAAAGTGTCATGCTTTCCCCTTCCCACTGGCTGGAATGCAGATGTGATGGCTGGAACTAGAGCAGCCACCTTGGACTGAAAGAGTGAGCCACTGCAGGGTCATCACCTGTACCTGGAGCTGGATGCTCACTGGCCGTGCCGCGGCAAGCCTCTTACCTCCTGACACCACCCCGCTTGCGTGTGCAGAAGGAGAATGGAATCCTAAGTGAGCCCATGTCAAACACAGTCGCGTTTTGTCTGACAGTTCTATTGTGGAGGGGGAAAAAAGTCCCTTAAAACTGCAGAGCATGGACCTGTAGAAGTTCTCAATTCTAAATTGGTTTCCCAGGAGGCCCAGTGGTAAAGAACCCACCTGCCAATGCAGGAGACATTAGTTTGATCCCTGGGTTGGGAAAGTCTCCTGGAGAAGGAAATGGTCACCCACCCCAGAATTCTTGCTGGGGAAATCCCATGGACGGAGGAGACCTGGTGGGTTCTAGTCCACG